AGTTTATTATGATTTTGCGCATTTCGAGAGTGGTGTGGCGACGCCCTCCCCACTGTCTAGCGCCGAGTTTGGCGCGTCAGATTATGTCTGACGCCTTTCTCTCTCTCTATACATATGAACCTCCCACGATAATGAATCTTTCTCTTTATCGAGAAAAAATCATTTTCGTTGGGCATGTTTGATTTTTATTTATTTTATTTTATTTTTGTTTGCAGAATGTTGTATGTTTTTTTTGTGTGATTTTCTTCTTTTTTTTTTTTTCTTTTTTCGTGATGCACTACCGATTGTCCGAGGCTCGATAATAAAGTCTGAGGCTCGATAATAAAGTCCGAGGCTCGGGAATGATCGGGCTACCGGTAGTCTGAGCCTCGGACTTGATAGTTGGGCGAGGTACTGGTGGTTTAACAGATGTCCCCAAGGACCAGCCATTAACCTTTTATTTTTTTCTCAATCTTCTTTATATATACATTTTGCTCATCTATCTCATTCTCTCACTACTCTTATGTATAGTATGGGGGAACACCAACCAAACACGGGGCAGGTTGACACCAGAGAAGTGGTGCGAGAGTAATACAAACCCCTCATCACGATGATGCGAGGTGATTGGGCATTGCAGATGGGGGAAACCCGTAGTGCCGAGCATCTTTGGCCAGTCACTCGCACCTCCCCCCCTCTCTTCCCTCCAACCCCACATTTTTGTCTTTTGTGCATTTGGTGAGTATTGCGGCGAGACCCTCTCTTCTAAAGGTCTAGTTGCACTACTCGCCATCCGGCACACTTCGTGGTGAATGGGTGGAGAACGGATGGGTGGAGAATGAAAAAAAAAAAATACTCGCCGCAATATTTCTTCTACAAAAAAAATCAAAACTTTTTGTTTGCCTTATCTCAACTCGTGAAGCCTTCCTTGCACCTGTCTCTTATACACATCTAGATGTGTATAAGAGACAGGTGCATTTGGTGAGTATTGCGGCGAGACCCTCTCTTCTAAAGGTCTAGTTGCACTACTCGCCATCCGGCACACTTCGTGGTGAATGGGTGGAGAACGGATGGGTGGAGAATGAAAAAAAAAAAATACTCGCCGCAATATTTCTTCTACAAAAAAAATCAAAACTTTTTGTTTGCCTTATCTCAACTCGTGAAGCCTTCCTTGCACTCTCCATAAAGTTGTTTTGTGGAGAGGTCCGAGGACCACCACCCTCCACAACCCGCCTCGTTGTGCACAGGCGGGTAAACCAAAAACACTCGCCACAACTTGTGTCGATGGTGTGGCGGGCAATCTAACATATTTTTCATTCGCCAAGTTTAGTTTGGCGAGTAAGAGGCTCGCCACACAGACTGTCGAAACTGAAACTCATTGAGTTTCGGCAGTGTCAGAAAAAATTGAAAGTCGGTGGAGAGTTTACCCCCCATTCGCCACACAGGCTATGGAGGGGCAAGGTTTTGGTCATGGCCAGGCGGACGGGTGTCATGGAACAATCCCTGACAACGCAATTTTCGAAAGGTCGGTGGGCCACTGTCGAATTTTCGTCCACTGACGAATTTTCATCACCTGCAGGCTGCAGGAAACGATTGCTGGTACCATTCTGACATCTGTCGAAAGTTTTTGAGCCACAACTCTTCGAAAGTCTGTGTGGCGATACAAAATTGTCGAAAACCTGGTTATCGATAGCCTGTGTGGCGAGCCTCTAAGTTGAACCAGGCGCCTACTCGCCAAACTTGGCCTACTATAGAGAGTAGTGCAACCGGACCCTAAATGTGGGCCTACCGTCTTCCCCCGAACATGAAGTATATGCGTTGTAAACAAATACAACGCATACCGTGTGTTGTATTCGTTTACAACACATATGCGTTATGTCCGAGTGAACAAAACCAATTTTGCCTGCACAAGGGGTTTGGGTCCAAGCCGAGTAGGCTCCCTTCTGGACTACGACTGGAAGCCTCAGAGTCTTGACAAAAAGGTAAAAGTCAAGTAGCGACGTATCGTTCCATGTTCAGGATTGAGTTTCATTCCTTTCCCCTACTTGGCCCTTTTTCCACTCCTCAACAAATGTGCAAAATGTGAATGAATCTTCTGCTAGAATCTGGACAAATACAACCTCGTTCATTTTTGTCTCGGTGACCACGGTAGTGCAGTGACACGATGGTGAGTGACTTTCTTATTTTTTCGCTTTCTTGGGCGCGCCACATTCTTGGTTGTCAAAAGCGCTTACCGCAGAGAGAGATAGATAGATAGATAGATAGAGAGAGAGAGAGAGAGAGAGAGAGAGAGAGAGAGAGAGAGAGAGAGAGAGAGAGAGAGAGAGAGAGAGAGAGAGAGCAGTGACCTGTGATTACAGGTCTGCACGGGCTTGTCCCGTTTACCAGGGCAAGAACGGAGCACGCGTTGATCTTCATAAGATAAAAAAAAAAAGTGTTATACTTAATACAACAATTTTCTCTTCGTGAAATTCAAATACAATGCATATGAGTATTATTCGAATAGAACGTATATGCGTTATATTCGAAGTGCCCTTGTATTCGAAGAAAGGGCGTCGTTCGACACTCCTTACGAGTTCCTTGAGCCACAAGGAATTTTCCTTGTGGCTCTTAAGGGAATTTGGCGGCGTCGTTCCACACATCCTTGGGGACGTTCCCCGAGGACGTTTCCTTGTAGCCTGCCCGCGACCATTTTCATATGAAGATATGCGGCCGCAGGCGGGGGTATCTGTATGGAGACGGCGTGGTCAAACGACGTCTGGCGGAAAAGGGCATAAGGCAGGCCACAAAAAAAAAAAAAAAAGGGACCTTTACGTTCGAAATTCAAAATTTGAAGTACAGTTGTGGGGACGACGGCGATGTTCGGCTTGCAGCGTGCAGACGGTACCGGGCTGAATCGGCCTTAGCGGCGGCGACCCTTCCGCCCACTCCCAGTCAATATATGTGCGTGCACCTGGTGCATCCATCACCGTCGAGCTTCTCCTCCATATCGTCCGCGCCGTCACACGCTATTCTGCCAGGGGGACGACATCCACGGAAAGGCGACAACTTCTCGGACCTCTCCTCGGAGGGTGAGCGGGTTACGTCTTTGGGGTGCGTGAATTGAGATGGCAGCGGAGAGACGTCATCTTGTGGAGGTGGTGGCAATGGAGGGCAGCGGAGAGGGCGGACATGCGCTGTTGACACCGCTTGAGCGAGCAGTTGTGGAGGTGGCCGTGTCAACCGTTATTCTTCGTTGTCAGCAGGAGAGGGTGCTGGGAAGAATGAAGGATAGTTACTCGCGAGTAGAAGAAGGATGCTGATGCAAGTTGCGGATGACGACACCGACTACGTGGCAACTTCGGAGGCTGTCATTGAGCTGTGCTACACGGTGGGTTGCAACGTCATTCCACGAGTGACACCGAGGTGGTGGATCAAACGCAGGACGGGGGGGACGTGGGAAGACCTTTGACAATGTGATGATGCCACGGACGACAACTTCAACGAGAAGCAGCACAGCGCCGAGGAGCAGCAGAGGGACCACCAAGAGCAGCACAGTGATGAGGAGCAACAGAGGGAGCCTGCGGTACAAGTCGACCATAAACTGCACGGTGTAGAGGGCAACAATGAGCACACGACGGCAGAGAAGGCAAGAGTCTTATCGGACGTGCAACATGCGATGACATGCCTGGGAATACGATGCTTGTGAAGAAACCTCGGGCCTCGCCACACCTATCTCCAAAACAGCGATTTGGAGAGAAGTGGCATCGCGACACCAACTCCCGAAAATCGTAGTCAGAAAGAATTTGGAGAGCGGTCAGAATGCGGTTCTCGGGAGTGATCTCGAACTTTGTGGATGGCCCTGCCTGCAAAGCACCGGATTTGAGGAGTGGTCCGAGGCTCCTCCGATTTCGGCCCCAAACTGGAGAGTGCGCCTCGACCGACAACCATTTGTTGCCACTGTTTTGTCTGGGTTCGCCACACCACTCTCGAAATGTGAAAAAATACAAAAATGTGGCAGGTGCATCTGGCCATGTTCTAGCGGGAAGTTCATTCTCATTTTGCACATTTCGAGAGTGGTGTGGCGAGGCTGCGCTCGCCAAAAAATGTCAGGCCTTGTCTGACGAATTGGAGACTGCCGCCTTGGAGAGCGCAGTGTGGCGACGAGTCCTCTCGAAAGTTTTTTTCACATCTCCCACGTTCAGGAGTGCTCCCGAACTTTTTTGGGTTTTCGGGATAGGTGTGGCGAGGCCCCTCTTCTGTGGATGGACTGAATGCGCCGCCGGGAACGTTCCTCCGCCCCGAAAACGCCGCCGCCGCCCGATGGAGGCCCACCACCAACAGTAGCCATCTGGGGGCATTGGGGGACTACGCATACGTTCCTCGAGCGCACGAAGAACTGAAACTCTCCGTCGACGCATGTCTTCGCCATCGACGCATGTCTTCGCCACTCCGTGAATCACGATTCCTTGAGCTCCAAGGGACCTCACGAGGTCCCTTGGAGATAAGGAAATTTTGGCTGGGGCCACAAGGTTGCCACAAGGAATTTTCCTTGTGGCGTTTTCACATTTCTTTTTCAATTTGGTCCCCAAGGACAGGCGGAACGAGTGTGTCCTTGTGGATTTCACGTCCCCAAGGAGTGTCTAACGACGCCCAAAAGGGTCTAACTTGCCTAAAACGGTTTTTTTTGAAAACTCGAATACAGCGCGTATGCGTTATGTTCGGGGGAAGACGGTAGTAGTGAAACTGGCCTTAAATTTTGCCCCAGATGCGTTCAAAGTCTTGGCGGATGGGTGCAACTCTGTAGGCCCTTTATCTGACTGCAATTGCACAAAGGCCTGGATGAATCTGATTGCAAATCACCTCCAGAGCTTAGTAGCAAAAATCCTACTCATGTGAGTATGCCCTGAGACACCTGAATTGTCCCAGTCGGACCTGACCTGACCTGCCACGGTCCCGACCTGTCCATTGGTTTGTCATTGGGGACCGTCTGCCAGGCATGCGACAGAATTCGCTGATTGTTCGGATTCTAACGGGGAAGCGAAGCAGGGGGCTTCTGTTTTTCCTTTTTTCTTTTTTTCTGGGTTTGTTTGGAGTAGCAGAGGCCTCATACTTGGGTCTATTTTTGAACTTCAGAAAGAGCTCAACAGTGTCCCCCATCGGCGTCGTGGCGATGGAGGGCATTGGACTCTTCCAGTGGTGAGTGAGCATGTACTGTACTGTGTATCTACACCCAGTTGTCTGCCTTCCTTGTGTCTGTCTGTGTGTTTGCGCCCAACTGTCTCGGGATGATACTCCCCCCCCCCC